TTTCTTCTTCTTCTCCTTCTCCTCCTCCTCCTCCTCCTCCTCCTCCTCCTCCTCCTCCTCCTCCTCCTCCTTCTTCTCCTTCTAAGTTTTTCAAGACAGGGTTTTTCTCTATAGTCTTGGCTGTCCTGGCACTCTTAGAGATCTGCCTGCCTTTCCTCCGGAGTGCTGGGATTAAAGGCCTATCCCATCACCACCCGGCTACAATTAATGATTTTCATTGATGTACTTGCATATATGTATAACTTTTTTGGCTTTATGTGTATGAGTGTGTTACATGAATGTTTGTGTGTGTGCCTATGTAAGGTTGTGAGCTTCCATGTGTGTGCTGGAAACTGAACCTAGTTCTCTGTAAGAACAGCAAATGCTTCTTAATCACTGAGCTATTTCTTCAGCTCCGTGTGTATCTTCCACATAGTTATAGCATTCCTCAACTATGCTTCTTATACTGACTTCTTTCTTTCCTTTATTTGTTCAATTACCTGGCCTAATAATGGCTATCAAGACACACACAGACACACACACACACAGACACACACACACACACACACACACACACACACACACACACACACACACACACACACATTTAATTCTAGCTTCCAAATATGAAGGTAAAACATGTAACATTTGTACATCTGTGTCTGGCTCATTTATTTAGCATATGACTAGTTCCATCAAACTTCCTCAAGCTGACAGGATTTTGTTTTCCTTAGTGGCTGAGAAATAACATTGATGTATACATATCATATATGTATATACAATGATTTTAAAAATCTTAAATGCGGTCTTCATTTACCATGGTCTCGTATTCCTTGTTCTCCCTCTCTGTTGTTAATCCAGCTGGGATCTCCCACTCCCCCAAGCTCTCTTTCCCTCAACCCTCGCCCTTCACTACCCCCACTCATGTCCAGGCTGTTCATGTAGATCTCATCCATTTCTCTGTCATTGGGTGATCCCCGTGTCTTTCTTGGGGTCCTGTTTTCCAGGTAGCCTCCCAGGTCCTGTGCTCATTGCATGAGTCGGCTGTTTGAAACCTGGGGCCTATGCAGGATCGCTTGGCTCGGCCTGGGAGGAGGGGACTGGACCTACCTGGACTGAGTCTACCAGGTTGATCTCAGTCCTCGGGGGAGGCTTTGCCCTGGAGGAGGTGGGAATGGGGGGTGGGCTGGGGGAAAGATGAGGGGGGCGGGAGGGGGGAGAACAAGGGAATCCATGGCTGATATGTAGAACTGAATTGTATTGCAAAATAAAAATAAAAAAATTAAAAAAAAACTTAAATGCTTCTAATTCTAAGCATTTCAGATGAAGGATATGCAACCTGTATTGAGATAGTGTTTCTTAAAAAAGCATCTTAAAAGTGTGAAGCCATAAGTGAAAACAGTTGATTAATTTGATAATATAAAATGATGGGTTTCAGTTAAACAGGTACATAGACAGTGTTAAAACAGTGGGCAAAAATTTTTATAGCAACTAAGCCTGATTGTGAGTTACTGTCTAGAATATAAATGAGATATCTTCAAAACAACAAGAAGACTGTGGAACTCCAAAGGAAACAAACAGGGAATTTGCAGAAGAGTGGACACACACAGACAAATGTTCAAATTCCCTAGTAATAAGTGAGATCTAAATTTAAAAGGTTTTAAATTATGCCCATCAGGCTAGTAAATATTAGAAAACTCCAGGTGGTGGTGGCCCACACCTTTGATCCCAGTACTTGGGAGACAGAGGCAGGGAGATCTCTGTGAGTTTGAGGCCAGCCTGGTCTACAAAAGCGAGTTCCAGGATAGCTAGGGCTGTTACAGAGAAACCCTGTCTAGAAAAGAAAAGGAAAAAAAAAAGGAAAGAAAGAAAGAAAAGAAAAAAGAAGAAAAAGGGAAGAAAAATATATTAGAAAGCAAAATGTGACTGAGACATAATGAAACAGAACATCAAAGGTTGTGAACCTTTTGGGAGAGCAATTTAGTAGTTCATTGTTTCTTTGATAAAATTCACTTTGCCTACAGTCCTTTTTCTGGGTGCATAACAAGAGGTTAATTCTCGCTGGTTCATGAGGATACATGTATGGAAATGATGCATTGCAACTGTGTTTCTTTTATAGCTGGCATTAGATAAGTAAAGTCTAATTGATGGGAGAATGGCTAAATAATATAGAGTATGTTGTATCAGTCAGAAACGAACTAAGTACATTCGTTTACAACTGCTTTTAAATTATTTACAACTGCTTTTCCTAGACTGTCTTAGTCAGGGTTTTTATTGCTGTGAGAAGACACCATGACCACACAACTCTCATAGAGAAAGCATTTAAATGAGGGGGCTCGCTTACAATTTCAGAGGTTCAGTCCATTATCATCATGATAGGGAACATGGCGGTGTGCAGGCTGAGAGTGCTACATTTTGCAGGCATCAGGAAGTCAACTGAACTGTCACACTGAGGAAAACTTGAGCAAAAGAGACCTTAAAGCCCACCCCAACAGTGACACACTTCCTCCAACAAGGCCACACCTCCTAATAGTGCCATTCCCTTTGGGGGCCCTTTTCTTCCAAAACATCACACAGATGAAGCCTTTGAAAATAATTTTGAAAAATAACTGCTAAAAAAGAAACTGATCTTGCCATAGCAGTATGAATAGGTTTTTAAAAATCAAGTGTAGAAGGTAAAGGTAAGAACACATAAGAATACATGCTTTGTCAAGCACATCAGAAGGACTAACTTAGGAGATGAGCATAGGATATGGAGATGGCAGGAAGGAAATCAGTTTGTTAGAGGGCTTTTATGTGTCAAGAACTGAAAAGGATGATTAGCTCATCACTTTTTTTTTTCCCTGTAGATCAGGCTGGCAGAGATCCACCTGCCCCTGTCATTCAGGTGCTGGGATTAAGGGCTTGAGCCACCATGCCCAACCCTAACATAGGCTTTTGTACTCTAGGAATAATGTAGCATAGGGGTTTATTTAGCAATGATATGTAAGTCGGATTGGAGAAGAAAAAACTAAAGACATTAAAAACAAAAAACTTAAGTAATCCAAGTACTAGGACTAAGGTCTTAATCTAAGGTGGTGGTCATTCAGAATGGAAAGTGGTGGTCATTCAGAATGGAAAGTGGTGGTCATTCAGAATGGAAAGTAGTGGTCATTCAGAATGGAAAGGCTGGAGTTCCTAATGCTGCAGAGGTGGAGTCAGCAAGTCATGAGGGGAGGAGGTCAGCCAGGTTTCAAGTCTGGGTACTGAGGGAGGCAGAGGCACTATTAGTTAAATAAAAGTGATAACAAAATAAAATGAGATTCAACTCTGGAGTAAATTTGTTGAATTCAGCTTTAGATGTTTTCCACTCAGATTTAGAAGGTCACTGAAGTAGATCAACTGTCCACTGCTAGAAATTTATTAAGGAACTACCGTGTGCTATATATCAAAGCAGGATGCTCTTATCTCTGAAGTATTTTGTCTCTACCATTTCAGTCTCCCCTGCCATTTTGATGTTCAGAGTGGTTTGGGCTTCTAGGAGTTGGTAAGCTTAAAAACAGTTGTTGAGGTTTTTTTTTAATAAAAATATCTAACAAATGAGATCTTTATGATTTATTTGGCAGTGGCATATAAAAAAATGGACTTTATAATAATGGCCACAAAAAAGAAACTTTTACTATGTAGCCCTGACTGTCCTGGAACTCTCTGAAGATCAGGCTGGCCTTGAACTCACAGAGATCCACCTGCCTCTGCCTCCTGAGTGCTGGGATCAAAGGCGTGCGGCACCACTGCCCAGCTCACAAAAGGAAACTTTAGCAGTCTTTGAAATTTTCGGGACTCCAAAGCGGATAGCTGAATCAAATCTTTAGTGTCACATTACTTATGAAAGACATGATGTTGATTTAAAAGAGTTTCAGTGAAACACAAAATTTGAAAGCAGGGTGGAAAATAGAGATTTTTGTGCTATGTCAGAAGTTTTTCTGGGAATCAAGTCAGCTTGGTTTCTTTTTCTGTTCTGGAAAATGCTTGTTTTCCTTCTCCTCCTTTTCTCCCCACTCACCTGGGCTAGATATTAATCTTTTGATTTTAATTTATATCATGCCAATACTGTTCAAGTGTGCTCTTATTGTAATGTATTGAGATTGTGTAAACAGTTCCTCTCTAGACATAAATTGGCATGTATCCTTTTAAATACCTTTTCACTGTCTTTAAGAAGTTGTGAATAAAGTCTGGCAGTGGTGTTGCACGCCCGTAATCCCAGCACTAAGGTGGCAGAGGCAGGTGGATCTCTGTGAGTTCAAGGTCAGCTTGGTCTACAGAGGGAGTTCTAGGACAGCCAAGGCTACACAGAGAAACTCTTGGGGAAAAAAAAAAATGAAAAAGATTGTATTGATTTGCAGGTATTTCGTATTATTCTCTGTAGTCTATAATTTTTTAAATGTAAGTTGTTAATGCCTTTCCATGTTTGCTGAATGAAAATAGAGCTTTCTTTTTGTGGTCCAGGGGGGAGTAAACATTGGGCCTTGTACATGTGAGGCAAGTGTGCCACAGCGCTACATGCCCAGCTGGGCGTCTCACAGCACCTCACTGGTAGTAGTCTAAGGAATATAGATGTGCTTGTTGCCCTCAGGAAACTCACTCTGGGGATGAAGAATAGAATTATAATACAATAGACTGATTGCTCTAAATAGGGATACACACAAGATGTATTTTAGCACAGTACAAAGAACATCTTACTGTTTGAGAGATAAAGGTAAACAATCAGGAAGTGCTTAGAGAAGATGAAAGGGATTTTGAATCAAATTCTAATAATATTTTTCTAGTCAACAGGATTCCAAAATGATTGATTTACTGGGTTCATTCTTGTTTTTGGGAACTGTGTGTCATCCTTTGCCTGCAGTCAGTCTTTCTGCTATCTTAAGGTATGGCTCTGAAAGCCATATTTTGAGGTCATTAAACAGTGCCAGTAATATTTCAGTTAATAGTTTTGCATTTCATCTTGCAGAGGATTATGTGAATGTATTTTTTTCCTTCCTTAGAGAAGTAGTTGACTCAATGGTTCAACATTTTAAAGTAACTATATTTGGAGACCGTAGACCAGTGTATGATGGGAAAAGAAGCCTTTACACAGCCAATCCACTTCCTGTGGCAACTACTGGGGTAAGATGTGTTTCTTTATTGTAAAGCTATACTTGTGCTATATCTCCTTTTATTTTATTCTTTTTTTTAGATTCATTTATTTTTATTTTATGTGATGAACGCTTTGCCTGTATGTATGTCTGTGCATCATATTTGTGCAGTGCCTGGGGAGGTCAGAAAAGGGTGTCAGATCCCCTGAAATTGGAGTTATAGCTAATTGTGTGCAGCCATGTTGGTGCTGGGAACCAAACTTGGGTCCTCTGTAAGAATATGTGCTCTTAACCTCTGAGCCCCTATATCTCCTTCTAAATGATCTTCCTACCATTTTAAATTGTAATCCATATTAATGTGTTCATTTTCCACCTTCTCTTGAAATAATTTCAGGTTTACAGAAAAGCCTTAAGAACAGTGCAGAAAACTCAGATACACTTTACTCAGATTCACCTCTATCCTTAACATTTGCTGCACTGATTTTAGAATTTTTCCTTACTCTCTTTTGCTCTTTCATGAAACATACATACATACTTACTTTTTCCTAACCCATTCACAGTTGGGTTGCATACATTATGCCCCATTAATAACATTTTAATATATGTTATTTCCTAAGAATAAAGAAGAAAAACTATGGTATATTTACCAACTTAATTAAATTCAATATTGGTATAATACTTTTGTCTAATCAGCAATCCATATTCTAGTTTTGCCCATTGTTTTAATTCTGTTCGTTAGGGTCTTCCCTTCCTCTAATAAAGAATCCAGTCCAGGATCATGCTAATAGTCATCACACGTCTTTAGTCTTTGTGATGGAACAATTATTTGACCTTTTTCTTTCTCTTTTCTTTTATGATGTAAACATGATCGAAGACCACAGGCAAGTTGTTTTTAGATGCTCCTGAGTTGTGTCTGTCATCTCCTTCCCTGGTTACAGTTTGTTTATGTATAATCTGGACAGAATACTGCAGAAGTGTTCTTGTTTCTCAGTGCCGTTGTACTCAGAGGTCCATAACATGTATTTGTTCCATTAATGGTGGTGGTAGCTTCAACCACTTGGTTAAATTGATTTCTGCCTGTTTTCCTACCAAGATATTCTTTGTCTTCTTGTAGGTAGTATCTTAAGGGGAAGTTTTGTTTTTTGTTTTTGTTTTTGTTTTTTTAGTTGTAAGTACAAATAGCATCTTAATCATTTTAAAAGTACAGTTCAGTACTGTCAAGCACTTTTACAATGTTATATAGCCATTACCACCATCCAGAACTGTGTTTATCCTGTTAAGTTGAAACTCTGTACCCACTAAACACTCTTCTTTTTTTTAATTAAATTTATTTATTTACATTCTCTGACCTCCCCTGCCCAATCCACTCCTCCTCTGCATTAAACACTCTTTATTAACTTCTCCCATCAACCCTTGGTAACCACTACTCTCCTTTCTGTGTATTTGAATTTGACACCGCTAGGTACTTCAAGTGAGTGGAATCATGAAGCATTTATCCTTTTGTGGCTTGCCTATTTCACTTAGCAGTGTGTTCTCAAATTATATCAATAGTGCAACATATGTTATTTAGAATTTCTTTCTTTTTCAAGGTTGAGTGATAAATCTATTACCTGTACACAACACATTTTGTTTATCTATTTTTCTGTTGATAGATCTCATTTAGATCTCATTGTATAACCCAGGGCTGACCTTTGACTCTTTGTGTAGTACAAGGCTGGCATCTTAACTCAAAACCCCCCTGCCTTTGCTCTCTCAGGAGCTGGTACTATAGGTCTTAACAACCAGGCCCAGTTTCCTTGTGGTTTGGATTTCCTCCAAATTAATGATATTGAACTTATTTTCATGTATTCCTTGGCCATTTTTATGTTCATCAAGCATTTTATCTAGTTTTTAAATTGAGTTTTTGTTTTTACAGTTAATGAGTTAACAAGAGTTTTTGATTTTTTTAATGTTTTAGATGCTAACCTCTTTTCCATATGTGCTCTGTAAAGACGTTTTCTGGCGTTCCATGGACTCTTTCTCCTGTCAGTTCCATATGTGCTCTGTAAAGGTGTTTTCTGGCGTTCCGTGGACTCTTTCTCCTGTCAGTTCCATATGTGCTCTGTAAAGACGTTTTCTGGCGTTCCATGGACTCTTTCTCCTATCAGTTCCATATGTGCTCTGTAAAGACGTTTTCTGGCGTTCCGTGGACTCTTTCTCCTGTCAGCTGTGCCCTTTGATGTACAGTTTTCAGTTGTGATCAAGAAATAACTTTTTTTTTTTTTTTTTTGGTTTTTCGAGACAGGGTTTCTCTGTGTAGCTTTGTGCCTTTTCCTGGAACTCACTTGGTAGCCCAGGCTGGCCTCGAACTCACAGAGATCCGCCTGGCTCTGCCTCCCGAGTGCTGAGATTAAAGGCGTGCGCCACCACCGCCCGGCTCAAGAAATAACTTTTAAGGATCCTATTTTTACATTTTTTAGCAATTGGTGATTCTTGCTTGAGAGGATTATTGCCTACATAATAAAAGTATTTTCTTTTATCTCGTTTATTTATCTGACATGATTTGTGCCAGATATAGTCAGTAGGTACACCCTTAAGCTGATTCTTGTGTTCTTTTGATATGACACACTTCATTTCTTTTTAAACTTTCTTAATTTGAGATCAGGTCTCATTCTAACCTGTGTTGTCCTGGAACTCACTGTATAACCAGGCTGATCTCAAACTTGTGGTCATTCCCCTGCCTTAGCCTTTCCAATGCTAGAATTTCATGCATGAGCCACCACATCTGGCAAACACTTTCTTTGTTAACATTTCATTACCTTCTGGTACAGGATATTCTAAACTTAGATTTTTGCTGGTGCATCCCTGCAAGCAACCATTTCTCAGGAGAGCCCTAGTTTCCTGTTTTGGAATACAATTTTGAAACCAAATCTGAGTACCATATATGCTCACTGATATGGAGGTATATGTGCTTCCTAAACCTTTTATTAATGGACAGGAGCAAGATATATATATATACATATGCACTTTGTGTAAATAAAATAATATTAAAATGTTAACACTTTATTTTTGTAATATTCATTTAATTTTCATTTGTGTGTATGCCTGGGTGCTTGTGGAGCCCAGAAAAGGGCATTGATTCCATGGAACTGGTGTTAAAAGAAGTTTTGAGCTGCCTACTGTGGGTGCTGGAAACTGGTCCTCTGAAAAAACAGCATAACTTGAGCTGTCTCTCCAATCCTTGTTTATTTGTTTGTTTGTTTGTTTGTTTGTTTATTCAAAGTGTGTGTGTGTGTGTGTGTGCGCACGCACACGTGCACCTGCGCTTGTGTGCGCGTATCAGAGAAAGAGAGAGAGAGTGAATGAGTCAGGTCAGTTCTCTACTTCCACTATATGGGTCCTGGGGCTCGGACTCAGGTAGTCAGGCTTGTTGGCAATCCCCTTACTTGCTGAGCTATATCACTAGCTGTTTGTAGTTGCTGTTAGACCCCTGCTCCCTACCCTCCACTATCACCTTTTTTTCCCAAAATTCTACAGTACATAGAAAATAGTTTCTACATTACTGCACTTATACCACTATAGAAAAACAAACATACTAATAAGAGTTTAAGATTTTTTTCTTGTATGCAGCTGTCCTTCCAAACCAACTCTTCCTCTGCCTTCACTCTTCAAATTGAGGGTGTAGTCAGTATATTTATTTACTGTGTTTAAGAGTTACTTGACATCAAGATCTTCTTGGTTTTTCTATTCATTTGAATTACATTTGATTCTGTTTGTGTTTGGTTTTAGTTTTTTTTTTTTTTCTCTACTTGTTTTAGTTGGGGTTTCTATTGCTGTGAAGACACCATGACCATGGCAACTCTTATAAAGGAAAACATTTAACTGGGGGCTTACAGTTTCAGAGGTTCAGTCCATTATCATCATGGTAGGACATGGCAGCATGCAGGCAGAAGTAAACTGAGACACTGGGCATGGCTTCAAAGTCTGCCTCCACAGTGACACACTTCCTCCAACAAGGCCCCACCTGCTCCAACAAAGCCATACTTCCTAATAGTGCCATTACTTATGAGCTTATGGGGGCCAATTACATTCAAACTACTACATTTCATCCCCTGGCCCCCATAAGCTTGTATGTTACATAATGCAGAATGCATTTAGCCCAGCTTCAAAAGATCCCATAGTCTATCACAGTCTCAATAATGTTTAAAAGTTCAAGCCGGGCGGTGGTGGCGCACGCCTTTAATCCCAGCACTCGGGAGGCAGAGCCAGGCGGATCTCTGTGAGTTCGAGGCCAGCCTGGTCTCCAAAGCGAGTTCCAGGGGCGCAAAGCTACACAGAGAAACCCTGTCTCGAAAAACCAAAAAAAAAAAAAAAAAAAAAGTTCAAAGGTCTCTTCTGAGATTCATGAAATCTCTTAACTCTAATCCTCTATAAAATCAAAATAAAAAATCAGATCACATACTTCCAACATATAATGGCACAGGAAATGCATTACCATTCCAAAGTGTAGGGAAGGGAGCTTTTCCATGAGGAAATACTGGACCAAAGCAAGATCGAAAACCCGCTGGACAAACTCCAAACTCTGCATCTCCATGTCTGATATCAAAACACTCTTCAGAATTTCAATTCCTTTCAGCTTTGTTGACTGTAACACACTTCTTTCTCTTGGGCTGGTTCTACTCCCTGTTAGCAGCTTTCCATGGCAAGTATCCCACGACTCTGGCATCTCCAACATCTTAGGGTCTCCAAGGCAATCCAGACTTCACCTTCAGACTTCACACAATGGCCTCTCTAGGCCTCCATTCAGGGACACCCCTGAAACATGCCTGGCCTTGGCTGCTTTCCTTAGTCATGGAGGATTCCATAACCCCTTTCTTCTATCCTTAAAGCCAGAACCATGTGGCCGAAGCTGCTAAGTTCTGCTGCTTACTAGGCTGGAATACAGCCCCCATTGTTCAATTATATCTTCACCAGCTTTCCGTTTTCAATGTGTTTCCTTCATTGCTTAAGCTTGGCTATCCTGAAACTCCATCTGTAGACCAGACTGTCCTTGAACTCAGAGATCCACCAGCCTCTGCCATTTGAGTGCTGGGAATAAGGTGTGTACCACTACACCTGGCTCTAAGCTTTTCTTTAATTCCTTTTCACAGCTGGAAACTTAGCTGGGTGGGATTTTGCCCTGAGGTCACCACTCCCTTTATTTCATTTATTAATCTGTTTATCTCCTTGAACACAGAATTTAGCTCCATTCCACTTCTTGGTGCTCCTTTTCTCCTCAAATTGTACATTTTGTATTTTTCCTTGCTCAGCTTGCTCCTTTTCTTTATAAATCTTTATAAGCATGAATATTTGTAACCACACAACAGAGTCTATACTTGGCTGTTTTGAAATTTCCCCTGCCAAAGGAATTAATCCAAATCTTTTCACTTTAGCCTCAGGTAGATCCTTTGGTCAAGGGCAAAAAGCAGTCACTTTCTTCACCAAAATATCACAAGAATGATCTCTAGGTAACATACTAAAATTCAGCACCATTGTCTTCCATGCTCCAAATAGTATGGCCCATTAAGCAGTGCTTAAAACATTCCACTGCTTTCATAACCTAAAGTACCTGTCTTAGTTAGGGTTTCTATTGCTGTAAAGAGACACCATGACCACAGCAACTCTTATAAAGAAAAACATTCTATCGGGTAGCTTACAGTTTCAGAAGTTCAGTCCATTATCATCATGGTGGGGACATGGCAGCATGCAGGCAGACATGGTGCTGGAGAAGGAGCTGAGAATTCTGCATCTTTGATCCATAGGCAACAGAAAGTGAACTGAGACACTGGGCATGGCTTGAGCATATATGAGAACCTCAAAGTCTGCCTCCACAGTGACACACTTCCTCTACCAAGGCTGCACCTACTCTAACAAAGCCACACCTCCAAATAGTGCCATTCCTTATGAGTTTATGGGGTCCGATTACATTCAAACTACTACATCTCATTGGAGACCTTTTGGTTTGAGGTTTCTTGTTTTGTTTTTTGATTTTTTTTTTTTAATTTTTGGTTGGCCTAGAACTTGCTATGTAGACTATATTGGCCTTGAACTTGCATTGATTCCTGCCTCTGCTTTCTGAGTGCTGGAATCACAAGCATGAATCACCACATCTGGCTTATCCTTGTTGATCTTGAGCTTATGAGCTCAGAAGTGTCATCTTTGTTATTCTTGAACTTATGAGTCAAGTGATTCTCCAGTCTCAGTTTCTCAAGTAGCTGAATGACACTTCTGACTATTTAGAATTCTAGAATGCTTCCTAACGTCAAGACTATGACTCCACCCCCAATATATACTCAGCATTGCTTCTCCCTTTTTTTCTTTCAATCTCTTCCCTCCTATGCCTTGAAATTAATCAGTTTCTTTGTTTCTGGTTCATGCTTCCTTCTTGTGTGTTTGGTTTTTTGTTTTTTGTTTTTTCAAAAGGAAGCAAATACATGAGTAGTTTCTCTTTTTTTCCTGTCATACAAAAGTTGTTATCTTTTATAGTCTTTTATATTTGTGTTGTTCATGTAATAATATGGATGGAAAATGATCATATAATAGCTGCCTAAATGTTAGCATATTTAAGTAGTTTCCAGTGTTTTAGAATGATAAATAATATTGCTATGAATAAACTATATATTTGAATTTTATTCTATTAATTTGACATTGAGATTTTTTATTTTTGCTTGTTGTCCCTTTTTTTTTTTTTTTTTTTTTTTGGTTTTTCGAGACAGGGTTTCTCTGTGTAGCTTTGCGCCTCTCCTGGAACTCACTTGGTAGCCCAGGCTGACCTCAGACTCACAGAGATCCGCCTGGCTCTGCCTCCTGAGTGCTGGGATTAAAGGCATGCGCCACCACCGCCCGGCTGTCCTTTTTTGTTTGTTTGTCTGGTTTTTTGTTTTGTTTTGTTTTTTTGAGACGGGGTTTCTCTGTATAGTTTTGGTACCTGTGCTGAATCTCGCTCTGTAGACCAGGCAGGCTGGCCTCGAACTCACAGAGATCCACCTGGCTCTGCCTCCTGAGTGCTGGGATTAACAGTGTGCGCCACCGCTGCACGGCCTGTTGTCTTTTTATAAGTTAAATTTTAAATAATTACATTTATCTTTTTCGAGATTTTACACTTGGGTCTTGTCCCATTAACAGGTAGATTTAGATGTTACATTACCTGGGGAAGGTGGAAAAGATCGACCTTTCAAGGTGTCAGTCAAATTTGTATCTCGGGTGAGTTGGCATCTACTACATGAAGTACTGACTGGACGGACTTTGCCTGAGCCACTGGAATTAGACAAGCCAATCAGCACTAACCCGGTCCATGCTGTTGATGTGGTGCTACGACATCTGCCCTCCATGAAGTAGGTGGTTCTGGCTTTTTTTCTTCTTCTTCAGATTTTTAAATATGAAGGGCTTTTTCCTATGTACTCATAGTAGTATAGGCCTTCCTCAGTTAACCTTTACTATGTTCTATGCTTTTCATCATTTCATTTGTATAATAATAGCATGTAAAATATACATCATAGTTTAGCTGATCTAGTGAATATTTTACAGAGAAATTTCTTACCCTTTTTCTTAGGACCTCTAAGTCTTGAACAACTGATACATTTTCAGATATACCATGAACTTAAATCGCCTTTTAAAAAATGGTTTCATTTTTTATACAATAGTATCAGATTCTATTGAAATTGCTACTCTTGAGCTGAGATAGAGTTCAGGCTAGAGTATTTGCCCAGCATACTTGAGGTTCTGTATCCAGACTTCTGCATGGGAAAAAGGGAGAGAGAGGTACTGTTTTTTAAAATCACACTACCATTTCATATTTCTGTACTTACATATGTCAGGTATCTTTGAAATAATTAGTATAGCTAGCTTGAAACATATTTGTGGAAATAAATTACTCTTTAGCATTTTAAAGTTGCAATGCTGTTATTTTTAAGAAAGTATTTTAAGGGACAAGTGAGGTAGCATACACCTTTAATCCCAGCACTTGGGAGGCAGAGGCAGGCAGACCTCTGTGAGTTCAAGGCCAGCCTGGTCTACAGAGTGAGCTCTAGGCTGCCCAGAGCTACACAGTGAGACTCTGTCTTAAAAAAAAATAAATAAATAAATAAAAATATATTGCTTTGTAAACTAACAGATTCTGAAAATAGGCAATTTCAGAAAATGTTAATGAATTTCTTCATTTAGAATAGCTTTTTGTTTTCATGCGTATATATAATTATAAGTATCATTATAATAAGCTAATTGTCTTTGCTTTCATGCCCCCTGTCCTGCAGATTTAAGTATTAGTATTAGAAGGAAAGGATTGAACATGCCATTTTAATTTTTGTAGATATACGCCTGTGGGGCGTTCCTTTTTCTCAGCTCCAGAAGGATATGACCACCCTCTGGGAGGGGGCAGGGAAGTATGGTTTGGATTCCATCAATCTGTTCGGCCTGCCATGTGGAAAATGATGCTAAATATTGATGGTAAGGGAACTAAAACCATATTCTGAATTGGGTAGTCGATTTCTTTATGGCATGTATATTTGGTTTTATTTATACAGTTATATGTACTGGTGTCTTACAGTAGTATTTGGATATGTATTAAGACAGCCTAATAAAACCTTAATTTTCTTTTATTATATTTGATTTGTAAATTCTTTATACAGAACTTGCCTGAGAATGCTACTAAACTTGAAGCAGGCACATGAAAATGTGTAAAAGCCCTGGTGTGTGATCATTTGGGAATTTTATCTTACCAATAATTTATTTGTATTCTCTTCACTCTTAAGTCAGCATTTAACTATAAAATTCATATGTTAAGAGAAATGTGTTGGTCATAGTGACCATAGCTAGGTATTCCTGTTGTTCTGATTGTGTTACTGATTGTAATCTCATTTTTACGTGCTTTCCTACAAATATTTTCAAGCTAATATATAAGTAAAAAGAATAACATGTTGAACTGCCATATGAATGTAGCCATTATTCATTTTGTCAAGGTTTTTTTCTCTTACTTTTGTTAATCTGTTTATATTTCTTCCTCTCCGAAAATATATTAAGTCACATGCTACGACAGCATGTTATTTTTTTTTTTTTTTTTTGGTTTTTCGAGACAGACAGCATGTTATTTTGTCCCTACTACATACACCACTGAAAACTGGAATGTTTTCTAATTCATCAGCAATGTCATTTTTTTATGTAAAAAAAAAAGAAAGAAAGAAAATTCAAAAGAAAAGAAAATTTGTATTCTCCAATTCCCAGCCCAAGATCATATTTCATTGATGGTCCCTAATATGTCTTTTTCTGCTTAACTGATTTGAATCAGAATTTAAACAAGATTTACACATCATATTCCTTCCCCACCCTCTTCTTTTCTTGTTAAAGTTTCGTTGACTTCTTAGTGAAACTTCTTATTGAAACTGTATTGTAGAATATCTCCATATCTGTGTTTGTCTTTTGTTTTCTTATGACTTGTTACTCTATCTCTCTTATTTTCTGAAAATAAGTTATCTCCACAAGTTTAATTCACTTTGGGTAGAAAGTGAAATGTGTACATATACAGCAATATATTCCAGGTTCATCACATTTCTTGCTTAGTATCTGGAATTAGCCATCCTTCCATGGATCCCTGGATCTTTACAGATCAATACAGTTTCTTCATTTTTTTCCTTACAGTTTTTGCTGTTTTAAAAATAATGAGAGACAATATTTAACCAGTTCCCTTTATATGTGTATTAGGCATATTTTTAATTACTTGCTATCTCCAAATATTATTTTACATATATATAAAATATGTGTAAGATAAATTTCTGGAGATGAGACTGATAAGTCAAGGGTAAATGTTATTTATAATTTTCATCAATATTTCTAGATTCCCCTCCATAAAGGTTGTGTTTTTCATCTACTAATAAAATACTTGTTTCCTTGTATGTGTGCTGTCGAACTCTTAGATTTTTGCCAATCAATTTTGCTGTTTTAAGTTTTTGGATTTTTTTTTTTTTTTTGTATTTTTGGAGACAGGTTCTTATGTGTGGCTCAGCCTAGCCTAAAACTGCCTGTGTGGTCCAATCTGCCCTTGTACTGGAGTCTCAGCCTCCTAGCTGTAGGTTTATAGTCATGAACTACTTACTGTGCCTGGCTGAAACAAAGCAAACAGCCCTTCACTAATATGAGGACCACTTGTGATTCATTCTTTTTTACTTTTACATTTATTGTTATTTTTAGGTACTGAGCATGGAGCACAGGGCCTTGGTTTTGCTAGCCATACACCTTAACAAACCATTGGTTTATGCATTTTTCTTTCTCTCTATTTTATGTTTGAGAATTTTATGCATATATAAAATGTATTTTGGGGTCTGGAAAGATGATGACTCAGAGGTTAAGAACATTGACTGCTCTTCCAGAGGTTCTGAGTTCAATCCCAGCAACAATATGGTGGCTCACAGCCATCTCTAGTGAGATCTGATGTCCTCTTTTGGCCTGCAGGCAAACATGCAGACAGAACACTATAATAAATAAAATAAATCTTAAATATATATAGAAAATAAATAAAAGTTAAAAAGAATGAATTATTTTAAAAAATAAAATGTATTTTGACTATATCTACTCCTTATATCCTACCTCCAGTTCCCCTGACACTCCATCCCCATCCCATCTTCATGCCCCCCCCCACTTTTTTTTAATAACCTACTATTTTCAGTTAGTGCTGCCACTCACTGTGTGCAAGGATGTGGGGCCATTCTCTGGAGCCATGCATGCCCCCGTGAAAAATTCCTCTTCCTCTTCCAGCAGCTTTCAACTGCCAGTAGCTCCTCAGCTAGGGTGGGGCTTCCTAAGTCTTGTGAGCCTCTCTCCCATCCGCATTGAGATTTTGACTGACTTGATCTTATATAAGTAACCAGAGTTGCTGGAAGTGCAATGGCCGTGTCCTCTCCAGAAATCAGCATTTCACAAGACTCCTTCCCAACCTGAAGCTCATACACTTCTCTCTATCCCTCTTCTGTGACAGTCCTTGAGCTTTGGGTTGGGGAACAGTTGACACAGATGTCCCTTTTAGGGCTGAGCACTCAGTCACTTACTCTCAGCATGTCTACTAGTTAAGACTCTTCACATTAACTGCTGTCCACTGCCAAAAGAAGCTTTTTTGACCAAGGTTTATAATTAAATTGTTATTTGTCTTTTGATCTTTGGAATGGTGGGCAGTTATTTTGTTTTTGTTAATTTGTGTTTTAATACACAGAAGTTTGCTTGTTGGTGCACGCACACGCACATACACACACACACACACACACACACCCCACTTATTTATGACTTGTAATGTGTGATAAGGCTACTCTCAGATTTTTCAAGACCATTCTTACTTGTTTTATGATATAGACTTTAGAAATACTGTGTCCTCATCCAGTGTATAAGAAGACAGGTTATTTTTACTAAAATCTCATTATTTCATCAATTAAATTAAAACAAATTGGCTTCTGTAAGGTGTTGAGTCTAACCTTGAATCCAAAAACATACTATATACTTCTACTTCGTTGCTTCAGATAAGTTGTAAGGCTTTCCTCACATACAGTCTACTTAATCTTGGTATTCCTGGGTATTTTCTGTGTTTTGTTGCTATTAAATGGGTTTAACATTTAATGGTATTTTTTTAAATATTTAATAAACTAGTTCTTATTTATAAACATGAAGGCTTTCAACTTCTATATGTAACTTTTTAATCTTTCTGCCTTATTGAATTCCATACTTATAGTATTTTTTTCAAGTGATTTTCTTGATGTTTCTATGTTACAGTTATATGATCTGCACATAGTAACAGATTTGCCTCTTTTTTTGTCAGATTATGTTGACTAATTTAGATAGGATAGTAGCAAACATCAATGGTTACCCTCTTTTTATTCCTCATTTTAGGAAAAATGTGTCCAGTGCTTCTCTATTAAGTATTATGCACATATGCATGTTTTTATGATTATTATTATGTTAGGAACAGTTTGTTCTAGTGTTGTTAAGGAGCATTGTTGTCCTATTTTCATACATACTTTAATCAAGAATGTGTGTTAAGGGCTGGAGAGATGGCTCAGTGGTTAAGAGCACTGCCTCTTCTTCCAGAGGACCCAGGTTCAATTCCCAGCACCCACATGGCAGCTTACAATTGTTTGTAACTTGAGTCCCATGAGATCTGACACTGTAACACAGACATATATGCAGACAGAATACCAATAAACATAAAAATGAAAGTAAATAAATTATTTTTAATTAACTAATTAAAAATATCAGTATCCAAGCTGTCTCTGATTACTTTCATAAGTCACATTTATTTACTACAAATTTTTTATTTTATCCATATTTTATTTAGTGTATAGAATTTTATAAAACAGTTTTTAACATTTCAAGCTTTTTCTTTTTTTTTATTTATTTTTATTTTACAAGCATTGGTGTTTTGCCTGCGTGTATGTTTGTATGAGGGTGTTGGATCCCCTGGAACTGGAGTTATAGACAGGTATGAGCTGCCATGTGGGTGCCAGGAATTGAACCCTGGTCCTCTGGAAGAGCAGTGAGTGCTCTTAACCGCTGAGCCATCTCTCCAGCCCCCCCCCGAAACTTTTTCTATTTCTGTTGTTCCCCCTATTTTTTATTTTTGTGCTTTGTCCTTTTTTCCTTAATTAGTGACTAGAAGTTTAGTCAACTGATTTTTTTAATTATTTAGATTTATTTATTTTATTATTTTAAATGTATAGGTGGGGTTTTTTTGCCTGCATGTATGTCTAGGCTCTACTTCATGTCTGATGCCCCTAGAGGTCAGAAGAGCATGTCGGATCCCCAGGGACTAGAGTTACAGATGGTTATGAGCTCCATATGGGTGCTGGGAATCAAACTTAAGACCTCTGCAAGAGAAGCCAGTGCCCTTAGTCACTGAGCCATCTCTCTAGCCCTACCTCCTGCCCCTCCCTCAGCAGAACACCTAATTTTTGTTTAATTATTTTACTTCTAGCTTTGTTTTCTATAGTTTCTCTTTCGTCTTACAAGTTTTTCTTCTTCGGTTAGCCAAATTAAAGTTGTTTTCTTACCTTTTTAAAGTAATTAGTAGCTTTTATTTTTTTCTCATCCGTAAAAATATTAAGGAACAATGAATTTTCTTCTGATCACTGTTTGATCTTTTCTGCACAGCCTCTGAATTGTAGTGTTTTCACTATATAATATCCCAGAAACTGCAACCATCTTTTTATTTATTTATTTATTGCTTTTCCTTTTTTTTTTTTTTTTAAATGGGTAACAGAATTTATTAAGATATAAATTGACGTTGGTGGTGCAAGCCTTTAAGTGAGATCCAGGACAGGCACCAAAACTACAAAGAGAAATTCTGTCTTGAAAAAACAAAAACAAAAACAAAAACAAAAAAAAAGACATAAATTGAGGAAATACACTCACGAATACAGAATGGAGTAGACTCTGGCTGAAGTCATCCTCTGATCTGACTGGAAGTGAATCCA